TAGGGGACCAAGTGCAGCGGCTCATAAGATCTCTAGCATCAACGCTAGCCAACAAGCACTGCATGGTTGTACAAGACTATGTCAAGGACGTAGTCTGCACCTTCTCCTATGGAGGAGGGGAACTGAGACATAAAATTTCATTCCTTGTCAGCGACGAACTGCCATTCGACATGCTGCTAGGTATGTACTACCTCGAGGTTGCTCAATCTCAATTCGACTGGGTAGAAAGGTGATGATCCACAAATTGCCCAACGGTAGAACAGTTGGACTGCAGAAGTTTGAAGCTAGCAGTCTAGTGGAAAACTACGGGTGCATGTGTGCATTATCTTTCTATAACTACTATAAACAAAATCGTGAGGAAGGCATGTACTTCGTCTGTCTCTGAGAAAGGGGAGGCCGTAAAATTACCCCCAGAGATAGAAGCAATCGTCGCACAGTATTCAGACCTTCTTGAGGAGTCCACAGGTGTGGTGGAAAAGGAGGTTGTCCATGCGATAAAAGTCATCTGCGGTAGCGAAGTACCTAGAGGACGAATCTATAGGATGTCTCCTGCGGAGTTGGATGAGCTTCGCCGCCAACTCAAAGAGTTCACAGAGAAGGGATGGATTCGGCCTAGTACCTCCCCTTACGGTGCTTCAGTCCTATTTGTTCCTAGGAAGGGAGGTACCTTAAGGATGTGCATTGACTATACGGGCCTCAATGCCATCACCGTAAAGAACACAGAGCCCCTACTGGATAGAGTGCAGGGATACCATCAAATTGCCATTAGACCTGAGGACCATCACAAAACCGCTTTCCAGACCAGGTACAGTTTGTGCAAGTTTGTGGTGATGCCCTTTGGCCTATGCAATACCCCTGGAACATTCCAGCACACAACGAATACGATTTTTCATGAATACTTAAAACAAGTTTATCGTTTTGTACCTCAACGATATCCTTATCTTTAGTAAGACCGTAGAGGAGCACGCTGAGCACTTGAAAGCAGTGTTAGGTCTCTTAAGACATCACCAGTACAAGGTAAACTTGGAGAAATGCGAGTTCGGTTGCACCAAGATCTTGTGCTTGGGTCATGAAATTTTTGCGGATGGGTTGAGGCTGGACGATGCCAAAGTGGCCAGCATTCAAGACCGGCCCAGACCTCAGACTGTTATTGAGGTCCGATCGTTTTTGGGGATGACGGGCTATTATCGTCCGTTCGCTAAAAACTATAGTTCCCCATTAATAGATCGAACTCGCCTTGACACCCCTTGGGAGTGGATTGAAGAGTGTGAAGCAAGCTTCAAGAAATTGAAGGATGCTCTAACACACTACGAAGTCCTCAAACTTCCAGATCCTAAGCAACCCTTTGTCATGACCACATACACCAGCCAATATTGCATAGGCGTGCTCCTTGCGCAAAAGGAGGGGAAAAAGTTGAGGCCCATCAAGTACATGAGCAAGAAGATGCCATCTCGGAAGTTAGCCAAGTCCACGTATGAGCGTGAGCTCTATGCCCTCTATAGAGCGGTAGTCCACTGGAGACACTATCTGCTAGGCAGATTCTTTTATTTGAGATCTGACCATGAGACTTTACGTTGGATCAAGACTCAGCATGTACTCTCTGACGAACTCAAAGGTGGATTCAAGTAATAGACATGTATGCCTATCAACTTGATCCAATCAAGGGAGAGTATAACAAGGTGGCTGATGCACTATCACGTCGGGCAGATTATCTGGTCGCGCTAGTGACTGAATTTGGCATATCTGACGATCTAACTCGATCTTTGGTGGAGGCCTATCAATAGGATCCGGTAATGTCTGAGATCATTCGTAAGTTAGAAGCGAAAGACAAAGTAACTTGTGACGAATTTACGATGGTAAATGGATTGTTGTTTCTTGAGAAGGAAGGGAATAAAAGATTGTGTGTCTCGAATAGAGAGTCTCTTCGTAGTTTATTTTAAGGAGAATGTCACGATGCAACAGGTTATTTCGATTATAGGAAGACTTCAGCTAACCTAGTAGAGAGACTTTGGTGGCCTTCTATGATGCAAGATGCCAAGAAGTACGTTGAAACCTGCCAGGTTTGCCAACGAGACAAACCCAGGACTCAGGCTCCATTGGGGCTTATCAAGCCCTTGCCGATTCTTGAAGGTCCTGGTCAGAGTGTGTCCATGGACTTCCTGGATACTCTTGTGACCAGCAGGTCTGGGAAGAGACACATCTTCGTTATAGTGGACCGTTTTTCCGAGTATGCAAGACTAATTGCTATGTCGGAAACTGCGAAAACTGATTATGTCATCAAACTGTTTATGGATAACTGGGTGCGGGACTTTGGATTGCCCAAGTCCATCGTCAGTGACAGGGATGTTCGCTTTACAAGCGAACTATGGCAGAATACAGCCCAACAGATAGGAACCAGACTGCAGATGTCATTAGGGAACCACCCTGAGTCAAACGGCCAGGCGGAACAGATGAACTGAGTAGTGCAGCACCTATTAAGGCATTACATCAAGCCAAGTCAGGATGACTGGGACGAGAAGTTGCCTCTTGTCGTTAGCCTGTACAACAACGATGTGCGCAGCACTACTGGTATGACTCCCAACCAATTGCATCTTGGTTGGAAGCCCAAATCCGCCTTGGATTTTCTACTGCCTGAGAGCCAGTCAACTGCAGCACCTGGCAGCATGGAATTTGTTGTCAAGTACAAACAGATGCTGCAGCAGGCCATTGAACACATTAGGAAGTCTCAGGATGCTATGATTGCATCTGAGAACAAACACAGACGGCCATCTAACTTTCAGGTAGGGGACTGAGTCTGGGTAAAGTCATCTGAACTGGGACAGGAATTAGGGATCTCCAGAAAACTAATGCCACAGTATTTCGATCCCCGGGAGGTCCTAGACGTAGTGGGCGATCAGATGGACGGACTCTCCTATGTCATTCGCATCCCACTACACCTACGCACACACCCAGTCTTTCACGCCTCAAAGCTGGCACCTTTCGCCGAAACCGCACAGTTTCCCTCCAGACGGTCAATGCTGCCCCCAACCATGAGTGGTGAAGTCGACATCGACGGAATCGTGGAGCATCGAATGATGCCAGTGTCGAAACCGCCGGGCAGAGGCCGTCCTCCCAAGCCGAGGATGCAATATCGTGTCAGGTTCAGACACCATCTTGATCCCAGCGAAGATCGGTGGTTCACTAGAGAAGAACTCCAGCGAACAGCACCTCAAGTGATTGCAGGGTATGAAAGAGAACTCAAGGGAAAGATGCCTGCAGATTAGAAGACTTCTGAGAGGACTGTCGAAGTAAAGGAGGGAATGCGAGGATCTGGGTCCTCAGCGGGCCTAATGGGCCCTGATACAAACGTGCCCGCCCTAAGTGAAGGCGGGCCTAACAAATCTGGAGAGGCCCTCTGCTGTCAATTTTGTATTCGGGGTCCAGGCAGTTGTGACGCGCCAATTGGTTGAAGGAAACAAAGGCCGAGCAGCAAAGACATTCCACGGCCTTCCAGGCCTTTCCTGAAATGCAGGCCCTGGGCAAGAATCGCAGCCTCATACACAATCAGTTGGGAGGCCCAACCGAACGAGGCCCAGTAGCTGCAACAGAGGCACAACCTCCTGGGGCCTACCGAAAGCTTCTGGGGAGAGGCCCAGGCCAGCCAGGCCGCCGGGGCAGGCAGGCTCTTTCCATATAGGAAAGAGATCGCTGCCTGGGCTCTCATTGAGGCCACAAGCGGTTAACAGGGGAACCCCACTTTTCAGCCTTGGTTAACCCCTTCAACCCTGAAAAGTGCATTGGAGATCATTTTTTTTAGTTTTTTCTGTTTTTTTTTCTTTTGCCCTGTTTTATTTTTGGTCAAGGTCAATGTGTGCCAAGTTTGGTGTTTGTTGGGGTCTTGGAGTTGATTGGTGGCAAGTTTGATTAAAATGACCCTTGGGTTTTGTTATAAATGGCCTGACAAGTGGTCTGAAATTTGAGGTCTCCGTTAACCGTCTCTTATTGAGGCACTTGCCAGATGATGCGGCAGCGCTGCTGGAGCAATTGCTTGCGGCCTGCTCAGCGTTAAGGGCAAGGTGCTGCGTGCGTGCGGTCGTGCAAGAAGCAGGGTGCTGCTTGGATTACAGTGAGGCGCAGGGGTGTACAGAGGGAAGACGTGGGTGTAAGACGAGGGAAAGATGATGATGATGATGATGATGATGACGATGTGAGGGCACATACCTGGTATTGGCGATGGTCTGCATCTAGGCAACATCTTCAAGTACTTCGTCGGCTGTGACATCGATAGTTGCATTGTCAATTAGTAGGCAGATAGTAGCTGTGTAGGAAGCAGGCTGGGCGCCGAGCGCCAAGTAGGGAGAAGATCCTGGACTCTTGTGTTGGTGGTGGTGAGAGCAAGCTCTCATTGACATTGGTTTTAAGTGTTACGATTCTCCATTGGTGTCATATTGGTGCAATGCTGCTTTCTGGACATTGTGATACCTTCTGGTTTTCAATGTGATTGTGCATTCTGGATATTGTCAACTCGCTATTGCTCATTTTCCTTGCACATTGGTGAACACTGCTCCCCACGGCCCATCTATGAACTTCCATGACAGTCCACACTGCTGAATCAGAACTCCACCAATGATATCTAAAGACTGTGTAATGTCTAGCCCACACCTAAGCACCAGCCTCCAGGTATCCTAAGCCACTCAGCATGGCCCAATCAAAATTAAGTCCATTAACATCATTCACCTACGTATACAGGCATGGTCTTATCCTGAAGAGAGAAGATTGAGAGAAAGCAACACCGAGAGCGAGAGAGGAACAGGGAAGTAGGTCAAAGTATCGGTCCTCAGAAAGTGGAGTCGGGGTAACCCAAGAGACAGCAAACGAGAAGGAAGGAATAAGACTGGAGACTGAGTCGACGAGCTAGTGGCAATGGACAGATCCATGGGAAAGAGGGTTAGCAGAGGAGAAGGGAAGAGCGAGATGCACTGCAGGTACAGTGGAAGTTTGGAGCTTAGTGAATTACTCACAGGGTCAGCGTGGAAGAAACCATGACGAAGAATTTGCTCCAGATATGATTCCACAGCTAATCGTCCTAATCTGCAAAGAATCAAGGGACATACGTATCACATTGTCAAGCAACAGGTTTCAACTTTTACCTGCAACTCCCAGCTACTCAACTTATCCACTTCCATGCTTCCCTTCATTTCCTTCCTTCGGTTCTCGGGAGCTTTTCATTGGTTTTCCTGGCGTCCACCTGAAGAGAGCATGTTCCCGATTGGCGCGTAGCCAATAGGCGTTGTCACGCCACCACTTCCCTTCCTTAACCCACTGATATGCAAGGTAGGCCACAGTTATGTTGGGTACGTGCCGGTGCTTGCGAGAAAAAGAAGGCGCCTGCGGCTGGAAACCGTTGAAGGTTGGATTTTGCCCTAGGGGCAATGGGGCTTTGGGGAAACTCTTTCTTCACAAACTTCTTTCTTTCACTACCGCAAGTCAAACAAACCAAGAACTGGGAAGTGCAAGATCAATTGTGAGAAAGCACAGATGCATCCCAGAATGGCACATCCCAAAAGAAGTAAATCCCAGAAAAAGAGCAGGGAATGATAGGTGAGGAACAAAAGGGGAGAAAGTGGTGAACGGAGGAGGGGAAGAAAGAAGGATGGAGGCAGGGGGGAGGGGGGAAGACAGGAGAGGGTAACTACCTCTCCCGATCAACTCCCAGCTCATCCAAAGCTGCAATCCTGTTGATCTTAATGCCTGGAACATACTCCATCGTCAGGATCTGAAAGGACCCGATCAAAGGTTGCCATGGCAAGCCAAGAAAGGTGTTAGCCTCCCAAAATCGACGATTCACTGTGACAAGCAGGATGTCATGAACAGACAAGAGAAAATGACGAAAACAGAAAGTGGCACCGACACAGACGTAGTGCTTTCGCGCATCCCCACTCAGCTGCATCTGTTCGGTTGTCTAACAGACCAATCAAACATCGACCAACAAGCGTGACAAGACAATAAAATACAACACATTTCTTTTTCATAAAGTTTAAGTGGTTTGACTGTATATACAGTTCTTTTCCTTTATAAATTATAATAAAAAGAAGAAGAAGAAGAAGAAGGTGGTCTAAGTAGTAATTTGAAAGTATTATACTGTTTGTACAAGGGAGTACTGAAACGGTCTGACAACAAACTGCAGCAGATGATGGTCAGCAACACTCTCCACTGCAGCAACCCCGCACGAACACCATCATTTCCTGATCTGGAAAACTGTCAGCACCTCTCTCTAGATCCCAGGTGCCTACCACCTCCAGTGCAATACAGAGGCCCGAATCAGGAAACCACGAATGTTGAGTCCACCAGCCATCTGTCGCATCTGTACTATACACAGCCAGCATCAATCTTCCAACATGGCTGCCCAATGGCAATGCGCTTAGATGGCAGAGGGTCATAGAGAAGGTGGAGGAGGAGAAATGGGTACTTGCAATCCCACGATGCCTCTGTACTGGACCGCTGAAGATGATACACCGTCACTGCTATGGCAGTCACAAGAAAGTATTGCAAAATGCACAGGGTTGCATTCCTGCCAACCGCTGACACACATGGAGTGGGCCAACCAGCCAAATAAGACCCGTCAGCAGTTTGACTACTGATCATAACCCCTCCTAGTCTACACATTTCCAGCATTTGGACAGTGGGGCTGTCATGCGGAGATAGGAAATGGCCCCGAATGGGCACGCACACAACGAATTTCCAGGGCGAGTAACCTGCGATGGGTCCTAAAGGGAGACCATGGAAGGAGGGTGACAATGCTGCTCTTGATGATGCATCATGAAGAGGAGCACTCGGATTGAGCATCAAGGGAAGCAGGAAGCGGAAGAAGAGCAGCAGCAACAGTGGACAAGGAGGAAGCTTAGGAAAAAAAGAGGAGAAAGAGAGGAAGATGACGAGGGAGGAAGAGGAGGGAGGAAGAGGAGGGAGGAAGAGGAGGGAGGAATGAGAGGATGGAGGAGGACAAAGGACGGAGGAGGACAGAGGAGGACAGACAAGGACAGACGAGGATGCATGAGGATGCAGGACAACGGAGGGGGAGGACAGAGGATGGGAAGGAGGAGTGCCATTTACTTTTCCATTCGAGCAAAGCGTACGGTTGTAACCCTTAATGGGCAACAAGCAGAGTTTCTCACTATAAAAAATCAGTTAAGTTTTTTGAGAACTGACATTGACAGCAGACTGAGCACAGTAAAAATGTGTTAGGAGACAGCATCCACGTATGCTCGCTCACACTTGCAAACTCAAGATGGCAGGTCGGACACAATTTCACACTCGATTTAAAGTGAAACTTCCAAAATACACAAAGCTCTGTTACTCGCTGGTGCAAAGATGCCAATCAGAGTTCAACGCAAGTCTTCATATGATACAGACTCTGCAAATAGCAAGTATGCCTCCTCCACTTCCAAGAACCCAGTCAGCCACTGCTCGTCAGTGCGCTGACGTGGCAATCCCTCATCACACTGTTGCCCTCCTTCACTCACAGCCTAGCACTCAGAGACACACACAACGGCGCGTACGCACGGACTTCATACACTGCTATGGCCTACACACAGTTCCCCCTCGCACGGCAGCTATGGCTGCCTCTTCTCCTCCATTCGGTAGGTCAAACAGCGTTGTTCCTCTCATTCAGCAGTTTCCTCCAGCTGCAGCACTCCAGAATTCCGATTCAGCTTTCCCACAAGACTTTCGTCACTTGGCCTTCGGTTCTGGTACCATTCTGGCCTGGCCTGGGTTGTGCCGTGCAACCTGCTGGGCACCCAACCTCTATTGACAGCCCACGAATGGTACTAAGTGTTATGAGTTTGTGCAGGAGCAGGTCGTGGGATCAAGACTCAACAAGCACAAAATGTCTAATCTCTATAGAACACCCCCAGGTAAGGTTCCAGGTTCAAATCTCTGCATGCATAGTCAACGGAAAACGCACAGGTGAGGGTCTGGGATTGAATCCCGGCGGGAAAATGAACGTGAATACTTTCAAATCAGTTAAAGTTGGGAATGGAGATTGGCAGGGGTTGCAAAGCAAGACTAACCTTTGGTGTGGTGTAGTCCCAGAAGATGGAAGGCACCTTTACATAATCCAGCTTACTGAAGTTCTTCCTGAATCTTTCCGCATTCTCCGCCTCTTGTCTATAGTTAATTTCCTGCACAAACAAGTCAAACCCCCATTGAAAGCAACCAACTTGTAATGCACGTAATCCTTTTCTCAATCAGTCATAAATGACTCACAGAAACTGAGCAGTGGGGTTAACAAGGAGGGGTGGGAGCGGGGGAGGGGAGAGGGGAGGGG